AGATAGATAGATAGATAGATAGATAGATAGATAGATAGATAGATAGATAGATATTATTTGAAGGAGTACTGTACTGTTCTTTGTTAGGGCCTGGAAGGATGAAGCCATGTTGACATAAAAAATTATATATAGGATTCCAGGTAGAAGACAGAAAATAGGGCAGATATGGAGTAGGGGAAATTGCTGAACAGTTTGACAGGTTCACACATTTTATTATATACAGACAGTCCTCTACTTATGAAGTGCAGCAGGGATTGTGGCTGCTGCCAAGTGAGGGAGGGTGCGTGAGTGGCTGGGGAGGCATGGCATGAGCACAGTGAGGTTCAGGGAGAATGTGCAGGTGGCAGGGAAGCATGGTGTGAGTGCATCAGGGCTTGGGGAGGATGCACAAATGGCAGGGTGGTGCAGCATGAGTGCAGCAAAGCTTAGGGAGGGGATGTGGGTGGCCAGTGTAGCATGAGCGCAGAGCGGCTGGGGGAGAGTGCACGGGTGGGGGAGACTTACCTGAGCGACTTACAACCTTCCATGCTGGCTTCCCCATCGACTTTGTTTGTGGGAAGCTGGCAGAGAAGGTCACAAATTGCCAACATGTGACCTTGGGACACTGCCGCTGTCATAACTGCAAGCCGGCTGCCAAGCCCCCAGATCACAATCACATGATTGCAAGGGTGCTGGGACAGCCAGAACTTTGAGGACCAGTTGTAACCACCACTCATTCAGTGTAACTTTGAATGGTCACTGAACAAGTAGTTGTTAACTGGAGACTGTGTGTGTGTTTGATTTTGTCTGAAAAGTCTTTCCTATCATGTTTAATATATTTACATAGCTGAGGCATAATTGAACCTACCCACTAGAAGATACCTTCATAAGAACAAATTACTGATTCAGCATTGTAAAAAGAGATTGCATAAAATATGTTTTACAGTGACTTGGATCAAGATGTTTTCAAAATGGGGCTTGTCAGCGCATGGTGTCTATATTCTCCTAAGCATTTACTACTTTGGAGGTAAGTCTGTAAAAACAATGAGTTGTAGATCTGTGCTGAACAGGACTGTGATTGTGTATAAATTACATTAGTGATTTTGAGTATTAGCTTGCAAGTTAGATTATAGTACAAGAATACAGGTATAAACAAAATTCTGTCCTGTATGATATAGGACTCAAAATTTTCTACTCTGATACTGTAGTGGTTTCTGGATTAGAAACTTTTGAATAGATTCTATCTCAATTTTATTTATTGAGGCAAAGTCAAATAAAATGTAACGACATGAGACAATAGCAGACTGATTAATAAATGAAATAAAGGACATTAACTGACTTAAGTCATGGCTCAGATTTAGCAAAGCTAAGGGGACGATAAAACAAAGAGTTTGGGATGTAGGTCAAAGAGTGATATAGGGCTAACCACACAGTTTTTAAAATATGGATCCCCATCACTCTCTAGTTTCTTATCTTTATTTGGAGTCTCCCAAATTAAGAACATTCTCATTGTCATGTTTTGATGAGCTGCCAACAGCAGTGATATAATAGCCTTTACAAAAACAAAAAAGACAACCAATGAAAATCTGCATCTGCCCTTGCAGATTTGATCAAGTGATTCTTTACCTTAGTCTTTCTATGCTGCTCTTACTTCAATGTCAGTAGGTCTACTCATTTTAATATGATTGCTTTGGTTATCCTTTTTTTTTTTTTTTAGAATCTTGAAATAATATTAAAAGACCAAAGGAAATGTAACACTTGCTCGCAGCTGGTTCATTACACTCTTTAATTACTCGTCCCATTCCAATTCTGTAATAATAATACTATATTATTCTAGTTCTAGAAGAACTAGATCCTAGAAGACAGAAGAGCTTAATTCATAGCATAATGATAAATTCCAAATAGGCATTAATACAAATAGCAGTTTAAAGCCATGGATGGATGGATGGATGGATGGATGGATGGATGGATGGATGGATGGATGGATGGAAGGAAGGAAAAAGGTACAAAATTCACCAATTGGCAAAGGGAATGTTCTGTTAAACTCCAGAATATTTCTTCTCAAGACCATGTAAAATTTCTGCCCCATTATGTTTTGAGAGTGACTTGACAGTTCATCCAAGACATCAGACTGCCCCTAAACAGAGAGGTTGACTTTTCTAGTGTAGTTTTCAGAAGGCTATTGCTGTTTTCTGTCTTGTTGTTGTTGTTCAAATTATAGCAATAATAGATATGTTCTTCAGTGGAAAAATAAAAATAAATTTCTCTCAGTTTCAGATGGATTTCTGAACATGTGTGGCTATATCGTCCCAGAGTCTCCAGTAGTACTGTCCACTGGTTCTAATTTTACAGCATTTTGCGTTCTCAAAGATCCTTGTCCTCCTTATGGCAGAATTCGTGCTGAACAAGTTATCTGGAAAACTAAAACTACAGTTGTCCCTAAAGAACAATATAGCATAATAAATGAAACTGTTTCTAGTGTAACATTCAGAGATACTTCTATGTTGGTTTCTCCTCTGACTTGCAACATTTTACTACCAGGGGATTTTATTCAGAACATCTATGGAATTCAAATTCAACAGGGCTGTAAGTTATGTCCTTTAATTCTTCTGTGGGTGGGAACATGGAGAAAATTCTACACTAAATGTAGAGTCTCTTGCTAGGATATATTAAATTATGTATCTTTTTAAAATCTTCCTGTTGGATGTTGTTCTTAAATTTTAGCTGTAATACTTGAATACAAAAGAGGACAAGTCAGGATAACTAATATTTGGGCAAATGTATTGACAAATGAGAAATGCTAAATAATTTTTCACATATTTGAGTACTATATAAAAATGAAAATATAATTTTTGTCCACCTACACAATCTAAGTGTGTTTCCCGAGAAAGTACTTTTAAATTGTTAAGTAAAATGCAGAATTTTCAAGTTGTCCTAGGTTTCTAGAAAAGATTGAAATACTAGTAAGGTACAAAAAGCTTTCGGGGTTATACTTGCATGTAGTTATTTTTTTTCTTCATAATTGTTAATGAAAAATCAGTAGTTTGTTAAATATTTAGCAGGGATTGGGTGTGCAATTTAATATTTTAAAAATATGGACAGTTTCCATATATTTGCTATCGTTACTCTAACTCAGCTATGCTATTAGTTATTCTGGGCTTACATAAATGAAAAGATATTCATGCAAGGATCTTTCTAGTCTCCCTTCTTTGCCTCTTCGGTTGGATCAACAGCCCAACATTGATCTTTGCTATAGGGGAAAGGAATGGGACTTGGGAATTGCAGATTATCCATAATATTCCAGGCCATGATATTTAGAAGTGATTTTAAACACTTCAGAGAGACTTGAGAAGGGTGCATGAAGGAAGAGGGGATGAAAAAATTATCTGCATAAGTATTCTTTCATTGTCACAAATTTTGGATCCATTTTGTAGCTGAATTAATTTTTGCTATGTTTTTATGCAGTTCCTCCCGAGAAGCCTACAAATTTGAGCTGCATTGTGATTCAAACACAAGTGACAGCCTTTATTCAACAATGTTCCTGGGAACCTGGAAAGGATACATTTCTAAGCACTAATTATTCTTTAAAGTCTAGATGGTAAATATATTTTAAAATGTAAAGACCGTGAGCTAATTTCTTAACTGATTTTTTAATGTGTGCGGTGAACTTTCAAGGAATTCCTAGCCTTCTCAAGCTAATGGGTTCATATGGCAAACATGAAACATTTCATGCAGCCATAAATTGTGGGATCAGTTACCCTGTGAATTGTAAGCACTTCTAACATAGCTTGTTCCAAGAAATGTTCCAATTTAAGTAAAGGGAGTACTTAATGTAATTTTAAGCTTGCTTCTTAGAGTAAATTTCATTTAGTTCTATGGAACTTACTTGTGATTAAATATGCCTCAATTATGTGTGTATGCTTGCAGATATATTAATGCTAGCATCAAGATATTAATATATTTAATGTATTAAAAACCTGCTCCCTTTCTTTACTGTAGGCCAAATAAAGAATTTCCTGATTGTATACCCCAAGACACTAATAATTCTTGTACCACTTCTTCTGTCGTCTTCTATGTCACCCTGGAAGTATGGGTGGAAGCCAAAAATGAACTTGGGGTAGCTGAATCTGACCACATTGAATTTGATCCCATAAAATATGGTAACTATGCTCATTTCCATTAATTAATGTTAGAGGACTCTCATTAATTCTTTGCCTTGGCACACAGAATCTCTTCCTCCCCTCCTCCCCCCACAAGCGGGCTAGATTCGAAGAAGAAAATGTGACTCAGAACACATGGGCCTGTTATATGTAGCATTTGTCAACAGCTCCTTGAAGCAGCTGAATATTTTCCTGGGCTCATGCAGCTGCCGCTTAGTCTCAGGAAAAGAGGCATTTGGTTAAAGGAATTGCCAGCAGGAGCTGTGACCACATTTGTGCATGCTCCATATCTCTTAAAATGTAAAGAACTATGTAGCCCTAATTCCATAACATTGGGGTTGAAATTAATTGAATCTGTGCATTCAATAATGAAACATTTTTCTCCCTTTTTTCCTAGTAAAACCTCTGCCTCCACACAAGCTGTCCCTCAATTCGGGAGAATTTCCTAGAATCCTAAAGCTGTCATGGGAAAACAGATTTAATGAATCACCACAGGAGCTGAAATACAAAATTCAATATAAGACTTCTGATAGCACTGTTTGGACTGAGGTAATCCTATAGTTATTTTTTATTATGACATTTTCTGTTTTACTGTACTTTTATTCTAAAAACTGGGACACTTGGACCATTTCAGTGGGAATTATATTGTTTTAAATAGCAAAAAGTGGACCGCCCAGAGTCACTTTTTTGTGAGATGGGCAGCATCTAAATTTGATTGATAGATAGATAGATAGATAGATAGATAGATAGATAGATAGATAGATAGATAGATAGATAGAGATAGGCAGGCTTCGTTTACAATTTGGGAAATATCTTTAAGTAGAGGAATTGCAAACTTTATGTCATGAGATATGCTACAAAAATTAAAATTGTTATTGTAATTAAAAGCTGTCTTACAAAGTTTTGAAAGGTTTTGTAGGGTTAGTGTTAGCTTCAAAAGGATGCCAGCTTAATCCATTAATTTATTGATGTATAAACATATATAACATATGATACAGTCATGTGAAAAAGTAAGTACATCCCATTGACACTTTTCAGTTTTTCAACATATAGGTAGTCCTCAGTTAATGATGGAAATTCTGGCACTTTGGTTGCCCTTGTAAAGTGAATTACCAAGGTAATTGGTAATTCAGGGTACCAAGAAATGCCTGCTTGAGGTTGTTTTTACCAGGTATTAGAGCCAAGGTTGTATTTATTTTTTCCTCAGAAGGAAATGGTGTATCTGTTAATTTTTTGTTGAGTAAATGATTGCAAAGCCAATTTTTCATGGTGTTTTTGTTCAATTACATCATCTTTGTCTTTACTTACTGTTTGAATGAAGATAACATATTGATATGTCCACATGTGTTAAAAAAGAAAAAACTACATGCAGTGTATTTATTTTTTTCACATAACTGTAACTGCTAGGAAAATGTTGCAGTTGTATAGGTATATTCTTTTTATGCAAAATAAAAGAACACCAAAAAAATAGTCATTATATACAAAATAATAGTGTGATTTTTAAATAAAACATTAACTCTTGATCATATTAAATAATATTAATTGGTCTTTCCACTTCATCATTAGAGTGGAAAATCATAACCGGAAAATATAACCCAAGATTGGAAGTCCAGAGTGACTGTTTCTTTCCAATCTTCTTTGCTTTCCCCTTTGCAGAATAAAGTTATAATTTTTCATGCAATGTTCAACTGAAAAGTCTTTCACATTTTGAAACCGCATTGATCTCTGTAACACATATTAACATTTTTGTGAGCATCAAACCAAAATGGAATATTAATTGTACAAGCCCACATCATATAGGGGTCATTTCATATTACACTTCCATTTTGTCCCAACCCTTTTAGAACATTCTCTGAATAAGCTGATAGCTACAGCTAAGAAAAAGAAAATCTAGGAATTTTCCTTGCCTTTAAAAAGTTCTTAATATTTTTTCAATCTGTTTATCAACCTAGATATACCTCTAAGTAGATATATACATCTCAGACTAATTTTAGCTACATTTATTTTTCCCCAAGCTAAATTGAAAGTATAACCATCTATTTATATTGATGGTCAGTTGTGTTAAAATTTTGATGAATTTGAAGTTCAAGGTAAGAAAGGTTTCTTTGGAAGAATTATTCCCAAACATTTGGAAGAACTCAACATGATTAAACCATTTATTACAGATTTTCAAGATACATTAGAACCTTTGGAAGTAGGTGTGATTTACTCCAACCCTAACTCTAACCTGAGAAATATCAAACCCCTTGATACCAATAAGTTCTTGTATAGAAGATACATAACTATAAAAAAGACATCATGATATAATAATTTATGCTCAATTCCAGCTACAGGTATACCCAAGATACTTTCATTTTGATTAATAAGAGAGGCCAGTGGTTTCTATACAGTACTAAATTAAATATAAGAGGAGACAAAGACACCCCCAAGAGGTTCCATTGACATCTTGTTAAAGACATTTTGTTTGTAGTAACCCTAGCACAAGTAGAATGTCTCATGTAAAATAAAATAAGTAAAAATCAAGGAAATTCACATTTAGAGAAACCTATTTAAAAAACTGGAAGTGTGAATATCCAAGATGCTCTCATTTGCTGCTTGCAAGGTTTCTGGGTATATGGCTAAAATATTAATAATTGATTTTATGGATCTTGATCCTTTTATAAAATCAGATTGTATGGGACAAATAATGAAATATACTATTTTAATCTACATGCCAATGCAGCAGTCAATATTTTTGAATCCAGACTTAACAACGAGACTAGACAATAATTTGAACAAAGAGTAGAGCCTTTACCAGCTTTCAGAATTACAGATATATGATGTTTGAGGCTGGAAGATTATTTGGAAAGTTTTCATTATAAACTTCCAGTAATACCGGAGCAACAAAATCAAAATATCTTTAGTACCATTTTGTAGATAAGCCATACATGCAAAGAATTGCACCACAAATCCTGTCCTTGGAATGTTTTTTTAAAAAAAAAAAAGCTAAAGGAAGTTCTTCTGTTTCTCAAAAACTATCAGCCAAATTTTTGGTTTTTAATTTTTTAATCATATCCTAATATGTGCTGGTACCTGAAATTTATGAAAAATTAGAAAGTCACTATACAAATAAAGCCTTTAAAGAGCAGCATATAATGTGACAATTTTAAAATATGTGTGAATAATAGCACTTATGACATTCGGCTTTATTTTCAGATTCCACCTGAGGATACAGCTTCATTGAGAACTTCCTTTACTATCCAGGAACTAAGGCCAAATACACAGTATACGATTAGACTGTGTTATGCAGTTTATTCATCAAAGTACTGGAGCAATTGGAGTGAAGTAGTTGGATTCACTGCTGAAGACAGTAAGTAATATTTAATTGTTTGTTCACCTGGCCCCAAGATGTCAAAACATTAAATAGTTACATTGCATCTACACAAGTTACCTTTTAAGCTGAAAAAAACCTAAAAGAAGATCTATAACACCATGAACATGGGGCCTGAAAATGGGATGATAATTACTGTCAAGCATGGAAAGTCTGATACTAAGAAATCATTAATACGGTCTCTGAAATTAGTAACTATCTTTGCTTCAGCAATCCCCGTTGGTTTTGTAAAACATACAGTGGTACCTCTACTTACAAACTTAATCTGTTCCGTGACTCTGATTGCAAGTCGAGTTGGTCACAAATCAAAGTTAATTTTCCCATAAGGTTCAATGTAATTACCGTTAATCCGTTCCGGCGTCCGCGGCCACACACCAGGGGTGGAAAAATGGCCGCTGACCACGCGGCAAGGAATAAAAATGACCGCGGACCACGTGGAATGGGCGGAAAATGGCCGTGGACCACGTGGCACGGGTGGGAAAATGGCTGCGGACCACGTGGAATGGGCGGGAAATGGCCACGGACCACGTGGAACGGGCAGAAAATGGACGCGGATCTGGTTCGTAAGTTGAGGCGAGTTCGTAAGTAGAGGTAAATTTTTGGGGCCGGAGCTGGGCATATCTCGAAAAATTCGTAAGTAGGGGCATTCGTAAGTAGAGGTACCACTGTATTCCTTTGAGGATAATGCGTTTCACATCCAATTAGAGCTTAAGGGAGGTCAGATTGACGGAGATTGAAGATTAGAAGATTGGAAAAGATGCAGAACAGATAACACAAAATCTTATACTTGAGGGGAAAAAATCAGATATTATGGATAAAATCATAGAGGCTGAGATTATATGTCTTCTGCATATTATACAGCATTTATTTTTTCATTTAGCTTGAAAACTGATACTGATAAATAATCAGCCACAGATTATACAGAGAAAAGGACTTATGGGTGAGGGGTGCTTGGTGCACAGTATTGTGGAAATCTAATACTTTGTTTTTAATTACTTTAAGTGCTGTCATAGGGTATTTAACACCCAACCGATTAAAATATGTAACCAGTATCTGGTTTTATTGCTAAACAGTCATTATAATAAAGCATATGTCAATTTGACCTAAGTCAAATTTTTAACTTTAATAAATATGCATTAAAAAGAATGAACAGTAAAGTACAACATCTAAAACTTAGATGTTTGGATTTTATTCTCTGTTAGGACCATCTAAAGGACCAGCTCTTTGGCGTAACATTAAGACTTCTGACTCAACAGGAAATTGGACTTTGAGACTTCTCTGGAAGGTAGAAAAAAGATTATACCATAAATGTCTGGCTTTTGGTGTTCTTGGCAACAATATGTATTTTTCATGATCTAAAATATTATCATATTGCAAGTAGACACAAATCTATTCATTTGGATAGATATAACAGTAAAAACAAAACATAGTTTTGCATTTGGTCTAAGGACTGTCCTTGGCTTTTGAGTGAAATGAAACTATACTCCAAAAAGTAGCTAGGGTCAGGACAGGTCTGTTTTTGATCTGATTTAATTACTCCCCATATATTTAATCATTTTCTGTCAACTATAAAAATTACAATTCAGTGACAACTTGGGTGAGGAGGGAACTGTGATAACCTCACCAAAGGCGTTCCAAGATCATGTACACCTCTCTCTAGGTGTGTGAACCTCTTCTTTAAAATATGAAGAGGTATGTAAAGTTTTCCTAGCCATTGTTGCTGTGTATTCTAAAGGGTCAAGTGGCATGCATGAATCCTTCAGTACAGATATAAGCATATATTTCACTTGGGTTGTAGCAGTCTTAAAAGGTTGTTTGAGAAATCTCTTAGAGTTTGAATCATAAGATAAAATACTCTTACTTTGAGTGAAATTTCTTGAAAAAACAATATAGGATTGATGTCAATGTTTGTTGAAGCTGGTAATGAAATCATGTTTTATCCTACTTGTACTACACTTTAGTCAATGAAATGTAGTTAAAAGCACCACAGTTAATGAAGCATAATTAGATTATGCTTTGTTTCAAGTAGATACAGATTACCCTATTGCTGCATGTAAACTTCCCTAAGACATATTAACAGTGATCAGTAAAGTCGAACGTATATCACAGCTGTTAATTTGATTCCTTTGTAAACATTCTCAAGTCATTCCTATATATTAGGAGTGTGTATTTGTAATTCTGTTTTTTGTTTTATAATTTGTTTTTTGCTAGTTTTAATTGATGCTCATATATTTATGACCATTATTTCTACTGATTACGTGTAATAAACAGATCATGAACAACAGAAAATGCCCTTTTGGGAACAAACTCTGTGTAATAGTATGTGGAAATGACCTTGGGAAACAGTGGGGAGAGCCACAGCCAGGACAACAGTCAGTTAAGAGGCAGCTGAGCCTGCAGAAGGAATGGGGGCATGGCAAACATTTCAGAAGGGACCCTCCCTAGTTTCTTGAGCTGTAAAGGTGAAGGGGAGAAATGTACTTTCAGACTTGCAAGACTCTGCTAATGTAACCTTACAGTAAAGTAGAGCTAGTACTTCTGGGTCAGCTTCTTGTCTGGACTATCTTACAAGGCTGACTTCCTGTTAAGATATTCCCATTCAATCTGTACCTCTCTCCATTTGATGTATTGAATTCTGTTCCAGTAAACAAAGTATTTGTGATTTCTTAGGTAACATTTTTCCCTTTTTTACCCTTTAGATCTTGCCTAGGTTAGAAAAATACTGGATTCATTCCACAAGCCTTTGAGGGCATTTCCAGTAAATTAAATTTTTCATGCAATAGGTCCCTGATTCTTTTCCTGGGAAATCTACTTGTAAAAGGATCTTGAGCAACAAGTTTGGGAAATGCGTAAATTATTATCTTAAATTATTATGATCCACAACTAGTTTGGAATAGAAATGCTGGGTTATATGGATCAACATCTGGATTTGTATAAAGCACTTTCTTTTATTCATATATCATCTCTAAATAAAATAAATCTACTTTTTATCAGGAGTTGAATCCTTCCGAAGCAAATGGAATAATTTTGAAATATGAAGTATTTATTTCAGGAAGACCACCACTTTCTTTTCCAACTAGATATTACACTCTGAATACCACCCAACTGACTTTAAATGTACAAAGTGGGACATATGACGTAAGCGTTACAGCATTTAACAAAGTTGGTAAATCTCCTACATCAGTTTTGTTTATTCCAGCAACTGATTCAAAAGGTAAAGCTTTTCACTTAATTTGATGAGGGGAAAAAAATTCCAGATATTAACATTACACTAGACCACTTTTGTTTTTCTTATGGGGGAAGTCCAATCTGATTGAATAATTATAGTACAACTATGTTTTGTGTTGTTTTCTGCTTTCCAAAGATCATTCCTCTGTCCAGTACTCTGCGTTGTCTTTGTTCACTATGCTAGGTCCTTACCTTGCTATTTTGTTCTGCTATTAAATAATGTACCCTATATGATAAGGGGTCTCTGCTTTTTAATATTGCCATTTTGAAGTTTAAAGTTAGTATAGTTGCTTTTTTTTTTTTTAATTCATGCTATTCTGAGTCAGTTAGCTACCTTTTCTGGTAGCTCAGTATTCAATAGTAAAGCATCATTTTATTGATCTTTCTAGGTACCGGGGTGGTATACAGCATTTCACCTTATAGTATGAGAAATGTATCATGGCTTTTGGTAGAAGTAGTATAAATGTATAACCTAGCGCCCAGTACTGTGACCCTGGCATGAGGGACAGCAGAAAGTCAGTGGAACTCAAATAAACACCAATGTTTATGGTACATTATGGTACAGGAAGGATACTAAAAGTGTGAAAATTAACAAGTCAATCTAATAGCTTATCAAAGCACTCCACCGGAAATAGCACTGAGTGGTTACATTACCCTTTATCTTTCTGTTAATTAATCTTAAATTAACCTTAGATTTATTTTAATTTAAAATTAATCTTAGATTTAATTTTATTTATTCAATTAATTTTGTTTTTGTACTGGCCCATCACTCTGTGGTCTTTTATAGAGAGTGGCCCTTTTTTCAGCCAAGAAAAAAGTTGTACTGTGAACTTCGGACTGACCTATAAAGCCATATGTTCACAAACATTCATGATTTTTCTTTAGTATGTGTAACTATTACAGTTTAATTGGAATATTTCATCTTACTACTTTTAAGTTTCCACCTCCATTTTTTCTCCATTTATATACTTACTACTTTAAGTTATTCAGACTGATTTGCTATTTAGAAAAGATTTTTCTTCTGTTTGAATTGACTGTGTTTAAAAAAAATGTCTTCAAAGATAAATAAATTTAAGGAGAAAGTTCATCTTTATTGGAACAACTTAGCTGTACCAGTTATTTTGATTGGTTCTATTAGGGAATAGATAAAGTATTCCATTTAAGTATCTTAAATACTATGCTTCTTGTATATACAAGAATCCTAATTCATATCTATTAGAATGTCTCAGTTTAACAACTGGCTTATGACATTTCTCAACATAGCTATAGGTACTCTGTACAGTACATATTAAAACTTACTTTCCATTCCTAAAATACATTTGTTGCTATAAGGGTGCTAGATACTGTCACGAGAATTGAAAAGTATTTTAAACTATTGAACATAACTTGTCAGATGAGAACAGTAAAAGTGCTTTAATTTAATATCTGATTTCTCTCTCTTGTTCTAAGCGTTAAAAAGTCCTTGAAATCCTGTTCTAGTTCTAATGTTTTCTTGATCTGTGACTATACCTCTGCTCCGCCAAACATCCATAAACTGGATTGTTTATAATATCTCTGATATTAATTATATATATATATATCAAACAAGATTCTTTAATTGAATATTTATGCTAAAGTTAGGAACTTTTTAGAATGCTAGAATCTATGCTTTATATCTCTTGCAGAATTAAAGGTATTTTTTTCTAATTTCAGCTTCTGTGAAAAATGTTGTTGCATTTCCTGAAGGTGGCAAACTCTGGGTAAATTGGACAGCTCCCAAAGAGTCAGTCAGTAAATACATAATTGAATGGCATGAAGCATGTAGCAATTTAAGCTGCACTACTGAATGGCAGCAGGAACCTGGTTCAAAACAGAGAATATTTCTAAAAGGTAACCCATAGGGAATTACCTGTTATTTATACAACACAGAGAAGAACTGTTTAGATGCATTTATTTCCTTTTAAAGTAAAACAAACTCTTATACTTTACGCACATACATACATGCCCACCAGGCTATACCTTTTGAGGTAAAATACATTATGCAATGTGCAGAAAAGAAGTAGTAGTAAACAAAAGAGGTCTGAAAAAGAAAATATATCTAAATCTGTAGGCTTACTAGGTTACCAGCCTTAGTCACCCATGGGACAAGCATTATCCTAACTAACAGCAAGAAAGTGAATTTTAGCACTTTTTAGCCAATACACCACAAGCACAAAGAAGGCATCTTCATTCTAGTCTGTGTAAGCTAGGATCTCTAACCTGGAGACTGCCTTGCAAGCCAACATACTGTTGTAGAGTGGGAAATTCTTAAGAAATTGGAAGTATTTCTGACACTTTCAGTGCCAGTCTCACAACTGCATCAATTAGCAGCAGGGGAGCAGGAATCTTCATGTTACAATTACCTTTTTCCTCAGTACAGACTTCATTCCTGAACGACGTCATCCTGACAAAACAACTAAAATGGCTTTTCTGTTGCCTGACAGAATTGTGACTTAATTATGACATAAGTATGTTCCTCTGCTGTTCAAACTTCCACTGTATGCCCTATCGCTTTGCAAGTCATTGAATCTAAAAGAAATTTCATTTTGATTCCTTACTGCAGATGCCACGTTCAGCAGCCTGATCAGAGAGAGGGCCTATAAAATAACATTAGGGGCATAATTAAATACGCTGTGTCCTAGAATTTTGTCTCTTCCTGTGGAGCAGATTTGAAGACTGATTCAGTATTTTAGAAATAAATAGGATTTTCTTGGAGCAGGCTGTTACTTAAAACTTGTTATTCATAAAGCTTGCCAGAATAAATTTTAGTTTTTAGCATGACATTCCTTTTATTTTAGCTGCTAAGTAATTTTCATTGCTGGTAAAATTCACATGGAAGATTTTTTGAACAAATATTCCCACATCCGTTCTCTGATACTGCAAAGTGATGAATCCTTGAAATCCACATTTCCAGTTAATTTCTGTTGTTGGATTTTGTTTTGTTTTATACAAAGGAACAGTATCAGTTATTAATAAACCATCAGTCCACTACAAGTAAAATTGGAGAAGTAGGAAAAATCCCAGGTGTTCGAACATTCTCTGCATTCACTGTATTTGACAAACTAAGATAAGATGATTACATTGTGAATTTTTGACGTAATTCAATCCCAGAATTTTGTTTTTAATATCAGCAGTTAGTCCTAGAATATGTATGGTAGAATTGTACTTTTGCATCAGCAGAACTCCAGCAACTGCAGCTTCTTTCTTCCATTAACCCAGAGGAGAGATTGCTTAGCGATTGAAGAGTTTCAGTGTGAAATTATAAATAATGGCATTGCTACTTTATCAAGCATCTTTTTTTATTGGCATCTTTTTTAATCCACCCCTACATTCTTATATATAGTTTAGAGGTGACCCTGCTGTTCTGATCATATTTTATTTCCTGTTTCCCCAATCTAAAGAGAAAAATTAAATCATTTATGTATTAAATGATATACCTTCCGTGATCGCTTTTTCATCAAAAGCCAGCAGTGATTTCCCACCGAATAATCTCTCTTTCTGCTTTCCATCATGCTACCTTCTTCCTGCATATCCCCGGATCTTCAGAGAAAATAGTATTGCATGAAAAAGTAATGTATTTGTCTAGTAGATGGATTAGAATGGTGCACATACCACCAGAGCTAAATTTGAAGAAATGCAAGTTGTTTTCAGGCTTTATGTACATTTATGATGATTATTCATACCCTGCCTTCCAGGATAACAATAATCCTAAATCATCTTCCAAGCAATATTAAACAACTGTAAAAAAAAAAAAAAAAAAGCGTTTTCAAGCATTTCTCGTGAAGAAGCACCCACATTAACACAACTACTTGCTGCTGTATCTAGCGGTGCCTCAGGTTGTTTTCCAGATGCATTTTAAAATAGTTTCCAAACAGTTAAGTTAAATTTCTCTCTCTGAAGGACCCTGTAGGGTTTTTTTTAACACAAAAATATGTGTTTTTATTTATTTAATTGAAAATTTGTCAATATGACCTGTAAAATTCTTTCTTTAGGAAACATAGAGCCATACAAGTGCTACATAATAACAGTGTACCCATTATATATTGGTGGTCAAGGAGAAGGAAAATCAACCCAGGCCTACCTTCAACAAGGTGGTAAGTTTACTATCACTGCAAGTGCTTCCTTGAGGATGTCATAATACAACAATTGGCTTATTATGACATTATTTATAAAACGTTGCCTAATCTTCATCATGAATTGATACCAAGGAGGAGTACAAAACAGTGAAGCTAGATGAATTGCATTAGCTGCAGTCATAAAATATGATCGTGAGAATAGAAAGAGAAAGAAATGGGATGCAGCCGCACGTGTTCAAAGAGAAGCCTGGGTGAACGGTTGATGCTCCAGGTGAGACAAGCCAGATATTAGATTGCAGGGCCTTAGGGGAATTCAGATGTAGGCCTTTACATATTAACAAAAGAACCCTGAACGGTTTGGTGGTGTCGTGGCAGCTAGTGCTGCTCCTTCAGAAAAGTTAATATAGTCCTAGTAGACTGTTCTTTAATAGCTTAACTTCAGCATTTTGCTCTAGGGTTAGGGTTAGAATCTGCAGAATCCTAAAAGCCAGCTTCAGGTAATTTCTCACTTTTTTATTCTGCATTTAAGCTGTTGTGTTCCTTACTTCATAGAACATGTTTATGAGAGAAGTAGTTGTTGATCTTCAGAAATAACTTATAAAAATACTGTTCATTAATAGTGCCTGCTAATGGACCCACTGTTCGAACAAAGAAACTTGGAAAATTTGAAGCTGTTTTAGAATGGAACTCTCTTTCAGTGGAGGAACAAAATGGGTTTATCAAAAACTACACTATTTCTTATAAAACAGTGACTGGAGTTGAAAAAGGTACTTGTATCTCTAATTTTTAGTTATTTGAATGATATGTTAGCCCGTGGTTTCAAAGTTTAAGCTTTACTTTAGCTTTACCAGATCCAGGCTGCAAAACGTACCCCCAAAAGCCACTAGATGGCAGCAAAGGGATATAGAAAGCTTACTCTGGCTGCCCTCTAGAATTTTGTGGATCTAGATTTTTGTGGATGATCCTTGTCAGTTGCATCTTGTACTCGAAGAGTCTTATGCACAAACAGCCCTGTAATATGTTGTAGCTCACAGTCACTTATGCCTTGGTCACCTCTCGTTTAGATTACTGCAGTGTGTTCTACCCTTGGAATTGCCCTTGAACAATATTTGGAAGCTTCAGCTGGTGCGAAACATGGCTGCATGGGCAGTTCATGTGCGCCCCTCAGTTGGCACACATTATACCTCTGCTCTGTGGGCTGCATTGGTTGCTAGTTTGCTTCTGGGTGCAATGCAAGATGCTGATGATGACCTATAAAGCCCTTTATGGCATGGGGCCAGGTTGTCTGAGGGACTGCCTCTCTCCAATTATGTCTAATCCCATCTGGTCCGGCAGGAGAGCCTTTTCTGTCATGGCTTCCGCTCTGTGGAACATCGTTCCCCCCCCCCTTCCTCCCCAGAGATCAGAGTAGCCCTGACCCTGTTAGCTTTTTGCAAGGCCCTGAAAACATGGTTTTGCCAACGGGTGTGGAAACCCAGGAGTGTAGTAGAGCCTGTGCAGTGGCTGTATTGACTGTGAGGATGGATGTGCTCACCTCAACTATGAATTTTGAATTTTCTGATATGGTTTTATATGGTTTAACATTATTTTTATCATTTAAATTATCCCATTGTTTTGCTGTTTTTATATTGTTTTTAACTTTATGAACTGCCCAGGGTCACATATTGAGATGGGCAGCTATATAAATTTGATTAATAAATGAATAAAATATTACATAATAATTGTAATAAATATATTTTATCCAATATATTGTGTGCATATTATATGCAGTATTATTATATTACTACAGAATATTTTGATAGAATTAATAACATTAGAAATGAAGGTTGAAATATATTGAGATCAGACCTTCCTAATCAGCAAATGTTTTTATTTAAATTAAGATCTTTG